TGGGATCCTGGCGCGGAGCCTAGTGTGCGGGTACCGGGGGTTGGGGGCTGTTGTGTGGGCAGTGGGGGTCTGGTTTGGGGGTGCAATTGTGCGGGTACCGGGGGTTGGGGGTGCAATTGTGCGGGTACCGGGGGTTGGGGGGCTGTTGCGTGGGTAGTGGGGAAGCGGAGCTGGAGGTCTGTTGTATGAGGAGGCTGGGCTGGGGGAAGCTGGTTTGGGGGCCGTGGGGAGGGGGGAAGCGGAGCTGGAGGTCTGTTGTATGAGGAGGCTGGGCTGGGGGAAGCTGGTTTGGGGGCACGGTTGGTGGGTGGGTTTTTGCAGTGCGAGTCTGATTTGCTTCTAGTTCAGCGACTCTCAAACTTTTGCATCCTTGACCTTTTTCACAGAGCTCAGCTGAGTGTGCCTCCCCCATTATGAATTAAGTACACTTTTTAAAATATATTTAACGCTGTTAGAAGTGCTGGAAGTGAAGCAGGGTGTGGGGATTGAAGCTCACTGCTTGTGTCCTGCCACAAACCTTGCAGTCCCCGAAGGCTCACTACCCCCAATTTGAGAATCCTTGCCCTGGTCTATAATGTACACCCATGTGTATTAGATCTGCATCCATTTCTTAGATTGTAAACTCTGTATGGTTGTGGTCACCAACCAGTAGATCGTGATCTACCGGTAGATCTCGGAGGCTCTAAGAGTAGCTCTTGAGCCCTCTCTGAACTGCGCGCCTGCGCAGTACATTTACATTAGATTTCCTCATTTGAGGAGCAGCTACTCACCGAGCAACAGCACAGGTGAGTAGCTGGGAGAAATGGAGGGAATTTTTTTTTTAAAGCAGCAGTATAAGGATTGGAGATAGCAAGTGATGGAGAGGAGGAGAATAGAGAGGGCGGGGCTTCAAGGAAGGGGCGGGCAGTAGATCTTGGCTTGGTCTGTCATTTAAAAAGTGATCTTGGGTGTAAAAAGGTTGGAGACCACTGCTGTAGGGCTAGAGCTTTTTTGTTCTGTGTTCCTACTGTACTCAGCACTATCAGATCCTGGTCCATAATAAGCTCCTGTGGTAATTCAAATACCAATCCATTCTGTTTTTCATGCTGTTCAAAAGCAGAGAGTCTACTTTGGCTTTGAAAGTTGACAAAGTATTTCTGATTTTAGGTCGTTTGTGTAACACAAATACATAGCAGTGTGTACATTTAAAACACACACTATCCTCCACCCATCCACCCACTCCCTACCAAACCAAAACTCTCTGTGTATGTCTACACTTGCACCCTCTTTCGAGAGAGGGATGCAAATGAAGACATTCAAAATTGCAAATGAAACTGGGATTTAAATATCCCGTGCTTCATTTGCATATTCGCATTATGGTGCTATTTCGAAATAACAAACGTGTAGACACGGTTATTTTGAGAGAAAACCCTTATCTCTGAATAACCCTTATTCCTCATACAATGAGATTTACCAGTTATTTTGAGAGAAGGGTTTTCTCTCAAAATAACTGCGTCTAAACTGCATCTGTTATTTCAAAATAGCGCTATTTTGAAATAACAGATGCAGTTTAGACGCAGTTATTTTGAGAGAAAACCCTTCTCTCAAAATAACTGGTAAATCTCATTGTATGAGGAATAAGGGTTATTCAGAGATAAGGGTTTTCTCTCAAAATAACCGTGTCTACACGTTTGTTATTTCGAAATAGCACCATAATGCGAATATGCAAATGAAGCACGGGATATTTAAATCCCAGTTTCATTTGCAATTTTGAATGTCTTCATTTGCATTCCTCTCTCAAAAGAGGGTGTAAGTGTAAACATACCCTCCATTGCATATGCAGGTTGAACCTCTCTAGTCTGGCAGCCTTGGGACCTGACCGGAGCCAAACCAGAGAATTTGCTGGACTGCAGGAAGTCAGTATTGTCTAACAGCATTACCAACACTTCCATTGCTTACTGGGCTTTTAGAAGACATTTAGGGGTAAATTTGAGCTAAATAGCAGAACACTAACAGCCAGGACTGGTGACTGTAAACAAACTTTATGGGACTGCAGGGAAACTTGGCCACAACCATGATAAGTGGACATCTGGCTAACTAAAATCATGGCAGACCACCCACATTGCCGGACCAGAGAGTGCCAGATTAAAGCAGTTCAACCTGTGCTGTTCGCCAAGAGAATGTACTACAAGTGGCAAATGTTAATCATGGTCCTTAACTTCCTCAAGGCTCTACTGGAAGATGCTCAGATACTATGGTAGATTATATAAGAACTTATGTTGAGTAGAATAGTCATGCTGCTGTGGTACTTTAGAAGGAGCAGAACTTTTCAGCGGCATGTCTTTAATCTTCCTTTAAAAAAGTGAAAATGACCTCTAATGCACCATTAAGACTGAGAGTAATGAAACAGAGTAAAAAGTTAAGCCTTTTAATTTGTTCACTATAAATATAACAGTAATTAAAGTAGGCTATAAAATGCATAGGTTGTATGACATGCTGGAACAAATTGCTGCTGAAACCATAACTTCTGAATTTCCATTATTTATGTCTGGTTTAGTTTTTCTAGTATTGTAAATGTTTGCATTTAATGCAGTACTGTTTTTACCCATTGTGTAATGTGTCTACACTTTCAAATCTGCTGTATAGTTTAATCCTGAAATACTGTGTACAGGTCAGATGTTGGTAGTTTGTAGTTGTAAGCTGCTTAATAGCAAACTTGAACATCATAACTTCAGTTTCTTCAATACACTTGAATATTTTCCTTTTGTGTTTACAGTGGTTTTGTGAGGAAAGAAATAGTGAAGATGATGTTGAAATTCTAACTACTAAAAAATTCAGAGGTGATTTGGCATACAGACGACAAGAATTTCAGGTATTTTTATGGTTCCAGTACTTTTTGCTAATTACTATCTGTAATTATAATGCATATAGACTGTTTAGTCCTATTTGGTCTAGATGGTACTGGGTCCTGCCATGAGGGCAGAGGACTGGACTCGATGACCTCTTGAGGTCCCTTCCAGTTCTAGTGTTCTATGATTCTATTTCTTGTAGCATTTCATTTTAACTTTTATTTTTGCAAACATCCTATTAGAGAGCCCTGTATGAATACACAAGCTGCTTGTTGCTGTTACCATCCAGTAACATCGCAATGAGAAGAGATGTCCAAGAGGGCCAGGCTCGGTGTTTAGCTCACCTAGGAAAGCACAAAGAGGCACTGGATATTGCAGAAAAACTGGTTAGTTGCGCAGTTTCTTCCTCTCCCCCTAGCCGCTAATCATGATCAGTACTTTTTTTTAACATGTATAGTTTTCTGTGGGGCTGGGGGTGGCGGGTGGGAATCCTTCTTTAAAATAATCCCTTTGTGAGCTCAGTGTTCATTATGTTTGATTAAAGTGGTGGTTGTCACCATATCTATTTTGTTCTTTACAAATAAAAACACTTTGCCACAAAAGTGGTGGTGGTAATCCTAGAGAGGAATAGCATCGTGCTTTTCTGGGCAGAATTAATGTAATTAAGAAAGGGGCTAAATCAGTAGCCTGTAACTCGCCACCATAAGTGGCACCTCAGTTTGAACACTCTTCTTCCTCTTTAGCATTCCTTCCACCCTCTCCCATACGCTCCCAAATATCTTACCCAAAGCAGAGTTCTGATCCTATAAAAGGAGTTGTGCCAGACACTCCATGAAGTCCACTGGAGATTTTACTTTTGCTATTGTTTTATGTGGCAGGCATTTAGAGACCGTGTTGATGAGTGGCAGTATAAAGTTATAAAAAGATAGGTGGTGATAAAATTCAAGGACAGTACTGTCAGGGCAGGATAAGGGACAACTTAAGGGAATGCATTCTTTGACTCTACAATAGCTGAATGTACATAATGTATACCACACTATTTTAAAAATACTTAGCAGAATTTGGACAATTAATTTTGGAAATCATGAAAACGATATGATAGGGAAGGGAGGAGTTTGTGCATTCCTGTTAACATGAAAAAATATCTTCTGAATAGTGATGATGAGTCCATTGTACTGTGTTTGATCTGTCATAATTTGTTTTTAGAGAAATGGAGCAACTAACACAGATCATTTAACATCTGTCCTCAACCTGCAGTTTACAATTTACTGTCTCCTGAAAAATATAGAGAAGAAGACCTCATGCTTACAGCAACTGATTTCTTTACATCCTTTTAATCCATGGAACTGGAAGCTACTTGCTGAGGCTTATATAAGCGTTTTACAGACTCTGCCTCCATCATTTATTTCAGAAATGAAACTTGTTCAATGCAAAGATTGCACTGCAAAAGACAAAGTTTTCCAGGCCTCACCAGGACCGTTTAGAAAAGAAATGAACCATCAGTGTCACCAGACACACAGCGGGAGAGATGATTTTAGGTCAACATTTTCTACAAAAACAATTGGAGACAACTCTGTATCTTCTAGCAATAGCCAAATGGTAGAGGGATCCCTCCATATCTCAGAAGAATGTGCAAAAAGGGACAAAATGAAACATACTCCCTTTGAGTCCTGGGGACAGGAAGTATTCAAAGAAGTTTGGATAAAAGCATGTGCCTCTTTTGTTAGAACAAGGTAACTATATAACAAGTCTAGAGGGACAGCCAGTTGTGTTAGTCTGTATCTGCAAAAGCAACAATGAATCCTGTGACCTCTTAGGGTATGTCTAAACAGTAGCACTATTTCGAAATAACGTAACATAGTTACGTTACACAGCAACCTTTATTTCGAAATAATATCGAGCTGGAAGACTTCTTACTCTGATTCTTGGTAACCCTCATTTCACAAGGAGTAATGGAAGTCAAAGAAAAAGTGGTCTTCCTTCGACTTCCTGCTGTGTAGACAGTGCCAAAAGCTGAATTAAGCTATTTTGACCTCAGCTATGCAATTAATGTAGCTGAAGTTGTATAGCTTAATTCAACTTTAGCCCTGCTGTGTAGACATACCCTAACAGATTGATTTGAGCATAATCTTTCATGGGTAAAAAGCACTTCATCAGAGCCATTGCCTTTAAATATATAACAAACATGGTGCTATTGCAAGAGAATCAGAAACTAAAACTGACCAGTCTGCTTTCACTAAACAAATGAAGTTAAATGCAAAAAGCAAATTATTCTTGTGAATGGTGAAATGTAAATTAATTGTTTTTTAAAATTCTTTGCTTTAGTGTACTAGTGTGTGTTATGTATTCTCAGCAGTCTTTCATGACAATAATTTTATATGGAAAATTTCCCCTACTTACAGTATTAACACTGTGCCATTTCAGTGGCACTGCTGCTTGTACTTCTTTTTGGAATTCATGCTACAGCAACTAAACTTGAGCAGTGGAGAGGAAGGCCTGTCTTATTTGCTTCCAGGTTAGATCGCTCAGAGAAAAGTGAATTATTTTTATAATTCACAAGTTTGCGTAATGGATGAGGTTGAAAAATAAATGAATTTTGTGACTGTTGATTGACAAGAAAACACAGAATTTCATAACTGTTTCTCTTCTCCCCGTCTTCCTTTGCCTCCTAAAACATAATAATTGGCAAAGATAATTAGAAATGAGCTTTTACAAAAATCTTGGGTAGCTTAGAGGTTTCACGAGGCATACCGGCGCAGTCAATAAAGGCTTCCCTTGTCGACTGCGCCATGTCTAGACTCCCGCGCTGTGCTGGATCAGCGCGGTGGCCATTTTTATTTTAAGGAAGCAGGGATTATTTAAATCCCCGCTTCATTGACTATGTCGAGTAAGCTACTTTACGTGGCTCCGTCGACGGAGCCACATAGTCTAGACACACCCAAAGTGAGTGAAATGAAATACATTATATGGCATCACCTTCTGAAAGAAATTGTCTATAAATACAATAAAGTCTTTGTGTGGAGGCTTGCAACATTTCCTCTGAAATGGGAACAGTTAGATGTGGTTCTAAAATATTTCCTGCGGATGTAAGGGAGTAGTCAGGTAGTTGAGTCAACAATTCGTATCCCCTCCCCCCTTGCTGCCTCTGTATTAGAGGCAGCAAGATGAGGAAAACCAGGAGCCAGTGCTGGGGGGCGCCAACTTAAAGCTCGTTTCCCCCAGCACCATCTCTGCAGTGCTGTCCATCTCTCCCCCCACCTCACTGCTGCCTGGGGGGGTATGGTCTGCTGCAGTGAAGCAGCCCCTGTCTGCGGTCACCGTGGGCTCTGCATGAAAAAATGTAGTAGGAGCCAGGCAGGCAGGCAGCCTGGTTCAGGCCCCAAACCCCGCTGTTGCTCTGTAATTTAAAACATACTAGGAGCTAGGGGGCAATCAGCCCGGCTCCTACTGCCTTTTAAATTGCAGAGCTGCGGCGGGGTTTGGTTCCGCACCCAGCATGAGCCAGGACTGAGTTGGGCTGCCTATTAACTAATCGAGTTGTCAATACAAATTTTATTGGCTACTCACTTAGTTAAATACCTGCCTCTTAACATCTCTACTAAGGACTGGATTGTGTGGACATGAAAATAAACTCATGAGATTTGTTCAGAATCTAAGGTGCCTTTGTGTCTTAAAATTCAAGTTTCTGGCTCTTTGATACAGTGCTAGTCATCTCTATACAACAAGATTCTGCTTTCTTGTTAAGTCTGAAGTCAGACTTTGGGCACAGGATGTATGCTGAATCTGGGTAACTCATATCAAATCATGGTATCTCATCATGGTGCTGAGCATAATAACCTACATAAATGTGTACCGATTTCTCATCTTTCTCTGCTTCCTTGGTTATAAATCCTACAAAAAAAAGTTTTAAAAAAACAATACTTTAAAAAAGTCTTGATTTCATGTGGTCTTTTTAATATTTGTGACAACCAGCACTACTTTGAATTGGTTACATATTTTCACTGAGATTTTCTTTTTTCAGGCTTTTACTTCAGATTACACAGTTGCAACAGTCATCCTTTGCTCTAGAGAAGAATTTGAAGATTCAGCAAGAAACTGAAGACACAGTAAAAGGTTTTGGTTTAAATGAAGAATCCTTGCTATTGATTACTGAGGTGAGTGACCATTCATAGACATTGTGTTATATTGATCCACTTAGGGTACGTCTACACAGCAGTGTTATTTAGGAATAACTGATGTTATTCTGAAATAGCATAGTCCATGTCTACACTACAAGCAGTTATTTCGACAATGTCAAAATAATGGCAAGCTGGAGGACTTTGTAACTCTTATTTTATGAAGAGTAAGGGAAGTCAGAGGAAGAGTGCTATGTAGACAGCGCCAAAAGCCAAAATAAGCTATTTCAATTTAAGCTATGCAATTGACTTAGTTCAGGTTGCGTAGCTTATTTTGGCTTCAGCCCTGCTGTGTAGATGTGCCTTGAGCGTGCAGAGATTTGCCTAATGGAAATGTTGAAACATCATCTCTTCAGCCTTACATTTGCAGGTAGTTTTACAGAGGTGCATGATGGGTTGAACTGTTTTGTTCTTACCTAACAATTTTTTGCTTTGAGTAGGACACAGGTTTCCTTTTTAAGGAAAATGTATGCAAGAGAGAAAATTATAAAAGTGCAGCAAACTGAGAACATATGGAGTGGCCTTAAACACTGAAGTTTCTTAATTAGTTCTTCTGAAAATTAAACTGAAGCATCTCTAATTTTGCATACTAGGGTTTATACTAGTTCTAGATGTTTTCATAAGAGCGGAAATAATATTCCATGTCTACGTTAATAGAGATATTACAAACATGCACCTCAAAGATGGAATTTGTGACTTTAAGCTCAAGACATATAGATATCTATATATGTCGAAGTCAAGGAAGATCTCCTTTTGCTGTCACTAGTAGCGATTTATACTTTCCATGTCATGAGCCTCTAAAAGGCAAATATCCATTGCAAGCTGACACATTCAAGAAGGCATCCATTTGTTAGAGAGCAGTAGTATGCAGATGTTACAAGGAAATCAGAGAATGGAAATGACTTCTTGTACATTTCTTGGTATAATCCCCACCTCCCTGAGAAATCAAAATATTTCTACTGTTACCAAGTGTCGAATTTATAGTTTTCAATTAGGTTTATCATTTTCAACTCGTTAGCAAAAATCCCATAACCAGAGCACAGCCAGACCAACTAAAAGGAGTTTTGCAGCTATAATACATGGGCCTTCATTATCTCCATTCTTATTTCACTATGCAGTAGAAACAGTTTGACCATGTGTTGGAAATTTTACCTGAGTTGTATTCTTAATGTTCTTAGATGTGTGTGTTTGTTACTGTGAAATTTATTATTT